AGACAGCTTACGTCATCGCCTTTGGATTGGAGGTATTAAGTGACTCGTAATTTTGGAACTGACGCAACCGGTTCTTTCGCAAATCTCAGTATGCTTTGCTTAATAACGAACTCTTCGGAGTAAACATTTTTTTACTAAAAACTCCCGAAGATTTTGCAGTTCTTGTTTGATTCTATCTTCGACGTGTTCTGTCAAATAAGGTCCGAACAAGACCACTTTTATATTCTACGAACATAAAGTTCTCGAAGTGTAAATATTGGCCTGTACAGATTTCCTTTTGATAAATGGATCGAGCACTCGTTCTGTCTTCTTTTCTGGTCATGCCAATGTCAAGAAAATTGAGTATGTTGTTCAATTCAGATTCCATTATGAAGTGTATATTTGGGTATGGTCTATTGAGTTCAACTTGAATTCAACTAGAAGACCTCGTCTTCAGCCACTGCTCGATGTCTGCTGCTGACGCAACACCCAGTCGACCGAAGCACAACTCGCAAGATTACAGAGGTTTGCTGAATCGAAAGATATGAATTGATGGAGGCTCCTACCCGCTGTATCAACAATAGAATTTTATGCTAGACAGTTACCACCCTGGTGACATGGTTCTTTTGCCCCTGCCCGTTTTATGTTCTATCTTTACTTTGTTGTCGTACCAAAGTCCTATGTGAACATTGAATTTTCTACAGTATGTCGCATATTGAGACGCAATGAAATCGTCCTGGACATAAATCATGCAATGCATTGGAATATGATCTTTTTTTTCAAATATCCGTTTGATTGTAAGAATTTTCCAATCATTTTCGTTAATCAGGATATCCTTTGTGCAAATTTGTCGAGCTGTCTGGAAAAACGTTCAAACTAGACCAGCGTTATGTCCTATTCGAGTAAAACTAGTTGATGGAGAATGCACTGTTGTACCCTGTGTTCTTGGATTCCATATTTTCCCACCACGTATGAATGATCATTGTAGCTGTAGTGTTCAAGTGTAGGTAGGCATGCATCAAAATGACCTGGGTTGCCTTGTGCTAACCAGTGCTTTTGATCTCACTATACTAACCGAATTCTCTTCATATCAGCCAATCGAACTATTTGAAAAGTGTACTATAAAACGCCGTAAAACAAATCCGCTCGTTAATATTTACTGCTTGCTAGGCACAACCATCTCGGTTGGCGTGCAAAGTACTAAATTCTGAGGACACACTAACATGGGCGGTGGTAGCCCGGTGGTAATGTCACCAAATTATCACCCCGGAGGACGTGTTCGAATCTCACCACCACCGCTTAACATTCCCCATTTGTGTGGCAGCCCTTCGATTGGCCGCTTCAAATTCCCGAAAACTGTATCATTGTGCAATGAATGAAAGGAAGTAAAAGTGACAAAAATGGCAACTCAGGAAGGAAGATGCTAAAATGACGCTCGGAATGTGAAAGTCAAAACGCACCAGAGAATTGCTCCTGAGGGTTGGAACTCTTAAATCAACCCAATAAATAGGCACATCGAACTGGAACACAAGTACACACCAATGCAACTCAAAGATCAAATGACGCAACTAAAAAGGTCACACCGTGGCCTGAGAACGGACAGAAACCACAATCGGGACGAAAGTACAGCCTCCCCCCTCAACCCCTCGCACCAGTTCAACGGCGAACCGAGTCGAACACAGTGAGTACAGGGGACAGAAGTAGTCGGTTGAGAGCAGATATAAACGAACGGGTACACGCACTGACGATGTCACCTCGCCCGGTGACGATGAAATGTTGGCAAACAAATTGCCAAACTCGACGAACCGGGAAAATGGAATTCAGCTCACCCTAGCTACAAGAACCAATTTTCAATACTTTGTCAACATGAAAGTCGACTCACCTTCTTTTCATCTTGGCCTCCTGTTGTCTATTTGATATGCTGATAACATCTTCACGGAACATCTCCCTCGGATCACGTTTGACTCTCTGCGTTCCGACCACATTTCGCGACAGACAAACGGCGTTCACTCGACCGATTTTCATACGAGGTTTCTGCTGCGTCCCATTTGTTCCGTTTAGCGGAGAAGTACCATTTTTCTGACCAGATACGTTCGTCGGGGATGACCCGATTTCCGGTTGTTCCACTAGTGGCGAATCGGTCAGAGCGGCAGCCGTGGTTGGCTCCATCCGACCACGACGTGGAAAACTGTTGGATCTGGTCAACGCGGCGTGGACGCGCACAGTCCAGCAGTCGGGATTGTCGGCGTCCAGACAGTCAACGCCTTGGTCCTCGACGAGCGAAATCAGGGCTTTCCATTCCGGGCGAGATTTTGTGTCCACGGTGAAAGCGGCAAAGTGAAATCCTTGCAGTGCGCCCACCTAATATGAGTTGGATAAGAATGAAGGTTAGCAATCCGGGTGGAGAACAGTATAAAGTGGACCAGATTAGCTGTAGCATAATAGGAAGTAAACATTACTGTGTAATGCACACACTGCTCTCGTTTTTTATGTGAATTAAAAAAAACGATATCTATTATGCGGTTATCAGTCTGAAGAATATCACCAACAGTCAGAATCCACTCTGCGTAGATAGGACAATCGGGAACATGTGAGCGCATTCGTCGGGGAGCATTTTTTGGATTAGGCCAAAAGGATACAACTTTGATGCGATTCAAGCGCGTTGAATAAAAAACTGCTAACGGCTGGTTAACCTCCACTGCACATTTAGCACCACGATTCGCGAAATCGGACCACTGAGCTTGTGTTACGCAAGTTATGGCCATTTGAAGACTGAACCCTAAACTTTGTTCTGGTGGCCATCCTGTATCCAACTAGCTTTTTACCAGAAAATTCAAATATTTTAAGCAATTTGCATCATTTCACCTTACAAATCGTTTTTACTTTCTGCTCATTTGGGTCCAAGGTAATCAGTTGTTCCGCTCTGCAAAAGGTATGCGGTTTTCACATCATCATCATCATCCTCATCAACATCCGAATAATCATCATCATCCGAATCATCATCATCATTATCAGAATCATTATCATCCGAATCAACATCATCACCCGAAACATGATAATCATCATTCGAAACATCATCATCATCATCATCATCCGAATCATCATCATCATCATTCGAACCTTCATCATCATCATCATCATCATAATCATCATCTGAATCATCATCATCATCATCATCATCATCATCATCCGAATCATCATCATCATCATCATCCGAATCACCATCATCATCAGAATCTTCATCATCATTATCCGAATCATCATCATCCGAATCAACATCTTCATCCGAAACATGATAATCATCATTCGAAACATCATCACCATCGTCATCATCCGAATCATCATCATCCGAATCATCATCATCATCATTCGAATCATCATCATCATCATCATCATGATCCGTATCATCATCATCATCATGATCATCGGAATCATTCTCATCACCGTCATCAACATCATCCGAATCATCATCAACAACCGACTCATCATCATTCAAACTATCATCCGAATCATCGTCATTATCATCGTCATCCGATTCATCATCATTATCATCATCATCCAAATCACCATCATCATCCGAATCATCATCATCATTATCCGAATCATCATCATCCGAATCAACATCATCATCCGAAACATGATAATCGTCATTCGAAACATCACCATCATCATCATCATCCGAATCATCATCATTATCCGAATCATCAACATCATCATTCGAATCATCATCATCAACATCATCATCCGAATCATCATCATCATCATGATCACCCGAATCATCATCATCATCATCGTCATCGGAATCGTCATCATCATCATCATCAGTATCATCCGAATCATCATCATCATAATCATTATCACCAACATCATCATCATCATCATCATCATCATCGTGATCATCGGCATCATCATTATCATCATCATCATCACCATCATCATCATCATCCGAATCATCAACATCATCATTCGAATCATCCTCATCAACATCGTCATCCGAATCATCATCATCATCATGATCATCCGTATCATTCTCATCAACGTCATCATCATCATCCGAATCGTCATCAATAAACGACTCGTCATCATTCAAATCATAATGCGAATCATCGTCATCATCGTCGTCATCCGAATCATCATCAACATCCGAATCGTCATCATTATCATCATCCGAATCACCATCATCATCCGAATCAACATCATCATAATCATCCTCATAATCATCATCATCCGAGTCATCATAATCATCCGATGCATCACCATCATCATCATCGTCATCATCATCATCATCATCATCGTCCGAGTCATCATCATCATCATCATC